AAGTTGCTGGAGTGAGGTCACCCACCAGACACTTGTGGTTTATGGGCAGCAGAGCTCTGCTGAGCCTACTTATCCTGGCCCTCAGAGTGGGTGACGCACCTCTGTCTGTGTTGGCTGTTGACTGGGGTTGAAGAGGAAGTCGGCTCTCAATAGGGTTAGGATTTTAGATGACTACATATTTTGGGAAGGAACCCAAAATATTGTCTGGGTTGGCAGGCCGCCTGGTCTCTAAGTATGCTGGAAAAGGTCATCAGGTCCCCAGCCCTCGGGGATGTAAATATTTGAACTAGGGTAGCAAACTCAAATACTAACAGGAGCTAAGTAAATAAACTAGTGAAAACAGCCAGGTATAACAAGAACACCACCGATCATGGTAGCTGGTGTTGACTGCACACTAATGCTTTGCCAGGCATTGTCCTGAGTTCTTTAAATTCCTTAATTATTCCTCATGGCAAGTTTTCAAAGTCAGTCCTGCTACTTTCTCCATTTTAAGATGGTAAAACAGGAAACAGACACCCAGAAAGGTTAATTTATCAAAGGTCACGTAGCAATGTAAGTGGTAAACCAGGATTCAAACCCACGCAGTCTGGTTCCAGAGCCCACATGGTGTAGAACAGATTCAATGACAAGCCATACTTTGCTACTGTTTAGCGGAGAAAAGAGTGAGTGGTGAGGACTGTGGCCAACATGTCCCATCTAACAGAGGCCCTTGTGCCTGGCAAATGTGGCTCAGCGGTTGAGTGTCAACCCATGAACCAGGAAGTCATGGTTTGTTTCCCGATCAGGGCATATGACCAGGTTGCAGGCTCGGTCCCCAGTAAGGGGCATACAGGAGGCAGCCTATTGATTATTCTCTCTCTTCATTGATATTTCTCTTCCTCTCTCCCTCTCTCTTCCTCTTTCTGAAATCAATAACAATATATTTATCTAAATCAGATAAATAAATAAAAGGGGCAGCTGCTCCTCAGCCCTCGCCAGTTGCTGCCCTGTAAAAATATAGGTTCGGTGTTTCTAGATCATTGGATTCTTTAAAAGAAGAATCTGAAATTTCAAGAGGAGATTCCTGATTATCCAATGTTGCCTTTAAAATAAATGTTTAATAAATACTGTGTGAACCCACATGGAATAGACTAGACTCTTAGCAGGCTCATAGCCTGATTTAAATGACTCAACACATGATTACTGTCCTAAAGATTGTTCCCTCTCCTTTTAAGTAGTAATTGAGCCCAGCCAGGGTGGCTAAGTGGTTGAGCATTGACCTATGAACTCAGGAGATCCCGATTGGATTCCAGGTCAGGGCACATGCCCAGGTTGTAGCTTAATTACCAGTGTGAGGCGTGCAGGAAGCAGCCAATCAATAATTCTCTCATTGTTGTTTCTATCTTTCTCTCCCTCTCCCTTCCTCTCTGAAGTCAATAATATATATTACATATTAATTGATTTTGGGGGCCTGGGGGCAAGTCCTGTTTCCTTCAGAGAGTTTTCTAGTTCTTTATTACTTCTTCAAGAAGATCTTATTTGGCCCTAGCTAATTTAGCTCAATGAATAGAGCATCAGCCTGCAGACTGAAGGGTCTTGGGTTCAGTTCCAGTCTAGGGCACATGCCCAGGTTGCTGGCTTGATCCCCAATAGGTGGCATGCAGGAGGCAGCTGATCAATGATTCTCTCATCATTGATGTTTTATCTCTTTCTCCCTTTTCCTTCCTCTCTGAAATCAAGAAGAAACAACAAAAAAAAAAGACAAATAAGATCTTTAAAAAAAGATCTTATTTGTAGCCAGTTCAAGGGATTCCTGCTCCAATCACAAACACCCTGCTCTGTGCTCTCTCCTGACAGAGTGTCCCAAGGGCCCTGACATCCTGGTGGTCCTGCTGTCAGTGATGGGGGCCATTCTGCTCATTGGCCTTGCTACTCTGCTCATCTGGAAGCTCCTCATCACCATCCATGATCGGAAGGAGTTTGCGAAATTTGAGGAAGAACGAGCCAGAGCAAAATGGGACACGGTAAGAGACGTGGGCTGGCTTTTCTTAAGCTGTTGGCTTGGAGCCTGAGGTGGTCAGAGCAGATTGCCTATGGTGGCCAGGTTCAGCTAGTAGTTTTCCATTTAGCCTCTTATCTGGAAACTGGGAGATGGTCTAACTGTTCCACTGTCCTTACGCCTCCTGGGAACCACCTGATTCTCTCTCTACCACCACAGGCCACATCAGTGAGTACTGACTGAGCACAGATAGGGCCCGACTCTGCTGTGAACACTATGAAGAGATGAAAAGGAAACAATCTCCAATGGAGGGAGACAGGACAAACTTGAGAATCTTATATGGAGAACATGGCATATACTGTATATAGAAAATATAGAATATATACTAACACATTATATTCTAATGAGGTTTAACGTGTTAAACACAAACAGGAAAAAAAAATTAAAATAGCTAACATTTACTGAGAAGTTACCATGTACCAAGAACTGGTACATGAATTGACTTATTTCACCCTATAACAACCCTATGTAACAGGCAACATTTTAAAAAAATATATATTTTATTGTCCTAAGCCGGTTTGGCTCAGGCCTGCGGACTGAAAGGTCCCAGGTTCGATTCCGGTCAAGGAATATATATATATTATTGATTTTTTACAGAGAGGAAGGGAGAGAGATAGTTAGAAACATCTATGAGAGAGAAACATCTATCAGCTGCCTCCTACACACTCCCCACTGGGGTTGTGCCCACAACCAAGGTACATGCCCTTGACCAGAATCAAACCTGGGACCTTTCAGTCTGTAGGCTGACGCTCTATCCACTGAGCCAAACCAGTTTCGGCGACAGGCAACATTTTTATACTCATCTGTAGATAAGGAAACTGAGTACAGAGAAGTGGGAGGGAATTAGGTTATCCTTTTTTGGGTCAATTGCTTAGGAATAGTAGCAGGATGTCATTTCTGTTTTCTCAAATGATGATGATAGCTTCTAAATCAGACTCCACCTCAGTGCTTTCTGCAGTTTATCGTAATTGAATCCAAACAAGCATTTTTTGAGAACCTTCCATATACCTAATTGAATTGAATTATCCTTTGGCTCACCTTCACTTCAGCTTTTTTTCTGCCATTTGACTCCCTGACTGTCCAAATTTAGGCTGTAAGTTTGTTCGCATTGGATGAGGTCCTCAGGCCTTTGTACCCCGGGACCCCAAGAAACTGAGATGTTTCTGTCCAGAAAATGTAGAAATCCTGAGCCCCTGAGGCACGTGAGAGTGTGTTGTGCTTCTCGAAGCTACCACTAAGGGCTTATGGCATTTGTCACTTTTTACTAGAAAGTAATTTGGGAAATCTTTCTTTTTCCTGTAACACGACAGTTTGTAGGTAGTGCTTGAAGGGATAAGATGAGAACATATTCAGAATTATCTGTGCAAAAGCTTTCCTCTATGTTCCAAACACCACTTTCTACATCTCTCTTCCCTGCCTTCATCCCCAGCATGGTCACAATAAAGGAAAAAGGGCAAAAGAGAGAGTGTTGGAGAGAGGGAGGAACTGATGGTTCAAAGCTATCCTGAAATGTTTGGAATCACCAAAAAGGAATGGGATGAATTTAACCTCTTAGAAATAGTGCAGAATGGCATTCCATTCCCTCCCTCTCTCTCTCTTTCTCTTTCTCTCTCTCTCTCTCTCTCTCTCTCTCTCTCTCTCTCTCTCTCTCTCTCTCTCTCTCTCTCTCTCTCTCTCCCGCCTCTCTCTCTTTATCCATTCCCATCTTCAGAGTGAATGTGTGGTACAATGAGCATTAAGCTGTTCACCGATGGTGTATCCCACAGAAGGGTGTCTTGGGCAAATTTCTCAGAGGAAAGTAAGCCTGGAGGACAGGGTGGAATTGAAGACTCACTGTAAGACCCTCTTCTATTCTCTCCACAGGCCAACAACCCACTGTATAAAGAGGCCACCTCCACCTTCACCAACATCACCTACCGGGGCACTTAATGACAAGCAGTCGTCCTCAGATCACTAGCGGAGTGTTCCAGGACTGTGGGCCTCTCTGCCATCATGTTTACAGGGGACAGTGTCTGTGGCGCGGGGTTGGGGACTTGGAGTGAGGTGGGGTGGGAGAATGTGCATGCGTGGCAGCGCGGGTCTCTGTGCGTTAGTGTATGTGAGTGGGTTGCGTGTGGGGGAATGTGTAATTTAAAACGTGTGGCGTGTCCCGGAGAAGCGGAGCTCCTCAGCCTTTATCCTCAGAACGCCTCCTTCAGGGATTCCTCCTGCTTCACCTGAGGGTGACCTACGGAGCTGAGCAGATGCTCTTCATTACCTCAGAGAGAAGCCAGCCTTCCTTCTCGGGCCCTTCTCCCTGAAGAACAGGCCTCTCGTTCCAAAGAACGGGTCTGGGCTTATGGTTCTTGGGCCTGACTCTCAGCAGCTATGGCAGGAACTGTTCCCCTGCCTCCTTTCCCCTCCCTCAGGCTGAAGGAGAATTCGGGGGCAGAGCCGAATCATCAGAGCTGCCTGTGCCTTTTGCTCTCGCCTCACTCCAGCATGGTTCTCTCAGTAGGGGAGTCCTGGCTTCCGAATTCTTGGATCTATTGGGAGAAAGGATGGCAGGGCCATCCAGAGGTCATGCATGGCCTGGGGAATGTGCCAGGGTTCTGCAGTTCAAAATGACCCTTCTGATCTGTCCCAATTGGCAGCTCCATCCTGAGGCTCATTTAGAAGTGTTTCACCCTTGGACCAGCACTGCCTCTTACCTCCTACTTCCACGTTCTCACTGCTGTAGATGTTTGCTACATATTGGGACTTTTGTGACCAAAAGCTTTTCCTCCTAGAAAGGGTGCTATGGTTAGAGCCAGCGGTCTGGCCCACCCTCAGGCTTTCTGCCCTTGTCCAAGGCACTTCCACACACCCTGCTCTGTGCTTTTATGTGCCAAATCCATCCGCCGGGCTGATCGCCTTTACCTACCTCTGGGGAGTCATTCCCACGGGTCCCTGAGTCTGTGCTGGGTATACGTGCCAGGGTGAAATGCTGGGCCAGTTGTATCCGCGTGTGTGGCCTATTCTCCCTCAGGCTGGGCAACCTCATTTTAACTCAGTCATTAATCTGAGAGGTCACAAGTGCAATTTTCTTTTTTTCTTTTTTCTCATCGGAGCACCTGAAACCATGATGAGGCTTAAACTAAAGGAACATGTATATAAACACACTTGTATTATATTTGTAATTTTATTTGATGACAAGGAAGGAGAGTATAAAAAAAGCCACATAGACTTGGGCTGGATACAGACAGCACGACGTGGCACCACTCAGAGCAAGTCACCGCCCAGTTGGGGGATCTGTAAAGGCTTTCTTATCCCGGAAGCCTGTGGGGATGGACTCACAGGCATGCTGGTCCTTTCCTGAGGAGGAGGGAAACGGGTAACAGCAATAGCATTGCTCCATTGGTGTTTACATGGTGTTTACCACCAGCTCAGTCCCCAAGAAAAAGAGGAAGAGCTATTAATAGTGATCTGATGATCAGAAAACCCAAGACCTGGCCTTAGTGTGGCTGTTAAGGAATCTGTAACCTTAATTAAGGCAAGTCACTGTGTTCTCCCTGAGGCTCAGTTTTTTAATTTGAAAAACGATGGGTTTGGACCAGTCAGTCTAGAAGGTCTCTGTTAGCGTCAGAATTCTAAGATGTCGGGACTTCCTTTGAGATCAAACTCACCATGAAGATTCTATGGGATACTGATTGCGTTTATTGTTTTCGTTGGGAAAGAGATCTGGCTTTGGCAAGAGCAGATGTCTTTCCACATCACGTTACTCAGTGAAAAGCCTCACTCTATCCTGTCTTGGAGCCTCTTCTCCAACTCTTGTTAGCTGTTACGTGTACTGACACTGTAGTCTTTAAGCTCCACTTAGTTTCTACTTCTTAGTTCACTTTGCACACATTTGCACCCACATATTAGGGAAGAGGCGTCCATAAGAAGCAGCTGAAATGGATGGTTTGTATCCAGGTGTTAACCTTGAGAATAAGCCCTGGAATTAGGGATGGGGAAAATGACTGCGCCCTGTCTGAGCCACGGATTACCCTTTACTTTAGGGGATGGTAACATGGTGGAGGGATAAGTGAAGAATGGGTAAGGAATCCAAGAAGTTTGGAACCTAACTGTAACCTTCAGCTATGGAGACAAGAGTCCATCAGAGCATTAGTACATTTTCTTTAGGTAAGATGACATATAAAGAAACTATATCAAAGGAGAAAGAATAGCTATCCAATAGATTAAAACCCTGGTCAGCAAACTACAGCTCACGAGCCATCTGCGGCTCTTTGGCCCTTTGAGTGTGGCTCTTCCACAAAATACCACAACCTGGGCGAGTCTGTTTTGAAGAAGTGGCGTTAGAAGAAGTTTAAGTTTAAAAAATTTGGCTCTCGAAAGAAATTTCAGTCGTTGTACTGTTGATATTTGGCTCTGTTGACTAATGAGATTGCCGACCACTGGACTAAAGCATCCATGGGAATCTTGTGTGAGCTTCTAGAATGAGTCTCATAGGCCTTGAAACCAGCAGTTTGTCTATTTCTGCGGGAACCTGTAGTGTGTTCAGGAGAGAGCATATAGCAGCGAGTTTTGGACTCATGTGGGGTGAACATCTCAATAGTGTTTTGGCATCAGACAACAGCACACAAAGGCCATTCGTGCTCCGCTCTTTTGGAGATACTTCAGGGTCAGTGGACAGTAACGGGAAACTTTGAACATTCCTGACAAGGTGTCACGTAAGGTATCAGTTCTTTATCATTCCGATGTTCCTAGTCCACCCATGATTTCAAGATACTTCTCTCCATTAAGTATTTCCGGTCAAAGTGACTTACGTGCTTTCCTGACTTCCTCACCACCTCCTCTGTTTGAGTTGTGAAACAATGAATTAAATGTGTTTTCCAAAAAGAAGTGGCCTAAGGCTCCCCCGTGCTTCCTGTGTTGTTATTTCTGTTTCCTTTGGGTGAAAATAATGATTATTTTAGAACAAGCATGTTTCCAAATGCAACAGAATGATTACTACTGAAACTACAGTTAGCTTCAGAACCTAGAGCTTTTCTTTAGACTTTAATAACATTGTCAAAACGAGTAGGCTATTCCTGTTCTAAGAGTTACTTTTTTTTTTTCTAGTTGGGGATTTTTAGGAACTTGCGTATCCTCAATAGAATAGTCTGTCACTTTAGGTTCTGTTTACAGGAAGCACGAACTGGTAAAATAAGGCTTAATGGTAAATTATTTACAGGACCATTTAAATGCCCTTTTATTTACGTCAGTGGGTCTCAAAATGTGCTCCCAGGAACGTCAGCATCAGTATTACCCAAGAACTTGTTAGGAATGAAAATTCACAGGCCTCACCCCAGAACCACTGAATCAGAAAATCTGGGAGTGAACCCAGCATTTTGTGTTTTAATAACCCATCTTGGTGGGATTCTGTTAAACGCTCAAGTTTGAGAATCACCGATTTAAGGATTCATGTCCCTATTGTTCTGGCCTAGAAAGGAATTTCCAGTAAGTCAGTCAGCAAGTTACTAAAAGATTAAGTCTTGGCTGATAGATTAAGAAAACAAAATACTTAGTCACAAAAATGAAAATCCATTTTCCAAGTTAAGTGATCAGAGGCTCTTGGGTTCACTCAGCCACAAATTCCCATGAAAAATTGAGAGACAGAGAGAGAGAGAGAGAGAGATCAGAATCACAGGGAGAGAACGGCAGCTAACAAAATACTTCGCAGGCATCTAAGAAAACCTTTTATGCCGAAGCAAGTTTGGCTCAGTGGTAGAGCGTCAGTCTGCGGACTGAAGGGTCCCGGGTTCGATTCGGGTCAAGGGCATGTACATTGGTTGTGGGCACATCCCTGGTGGGGGGTGTGCAGGAGGCAGCTGGTCGATGTTTCTCTCTCATCGACGTTTCTAGCTCTCTGTCTCTCTTCCTCCCTCTCTGTAAAAAATCAATAAAATGTATTAAAAAAAAAAAAAGAAAGAAAGAAAACCTTTTATGTGTACCAAGCTGAAGCAAGAAAATACTCTCACAACAGGTATTCATGGGAGATGGGGTTGAAATCTTCATTGTTAACATTGTCATCCAATAGGATGCCAGAATAAGACTTTAAAATATGCAAGTTCACTTTTTGCCATTTTAAATGCATTGAGCACTTAAATGGGATTGAAATATTTTACAGACACTCATAATTGCTGCCTTTATATCTTACATTCCTTACAATGTAAATTTTTAAAACACAATAGAGTGCATGGCATAAAAAGATTATGTGAGCATAGATTGAGTCCTTTTATGATGACATTTTTTAAGACCCACTGTTTTATTTACATTTTGGTAACTGGTGACTAAATGTCTGGATGAAAATGGAGGGCCTTATGTGAAAACTAACTGAAAAGCTATATGTGAAATCATATTTGTAATCCCTTAACTCTTAGTTTTTGTAGTCTGACTCCAGAGTAACAGCCATCTAATAACCGCTGGGATCAATTACAAAAAGGTTGTCTCAGAATTTTAGTGCACTCATTTTTCATACTGATGTGAGGAAGAAATAGCAAATAAGCCACTTAGGCCCTGAACAGTGTTGCTAAGTGTTTAAAGGATTGGCCTGCACACCAAAGGGTCTGCGGTTTGATTCTGGTCAAAGGCATGTACCTGGGTTTCAGGTTTGATCCTTGGCTCTGGTTTGGGCGCATGCAGGAGGCAACCAATCGATGTGTCTCTCTAACATCGATGTTTTTCTCTCTCTCTCTATTTTTCCCTCCTTCCTATCCACTCTCTCTAAAGATCAATGGGAAAAAATTGTGTAAGGAATAACAAACAAACAAAAAAGTCATTTAGTATTTGTCCTGGTTTCGGGCTCAAGCCCCAATAGGAGGTGTGCAGGAGGCAGCCAATCAATGATTCTCTCTCATCATTGATGTTTCTCTCTCTTTCCCTCTCCCTTCCTCTTTGAAATAAAAAACCTACACACAATAAATGCTTGTGATCAAGGTTAACCATATTGGTAAATAAAAAAATTAAATCCACTTAATGAGAATGGCTTCTATGTGAAAGGAAAATTATAGGTCAGGAAACATGACTGTGTTCCATGAAGCTGCTGTCATAATGATGTCACTCCAACCTCTTGCATACAGGAAACATTTTCATCAGTTGTGTATTTTCTGACAAGATACCAAAGAATGTACACAGAATGTAAGTATATAGGTAGCAACATTTAAGATATCTAAGAGCCTTTAAAAGGCAAAACCTCCATTGGTGTCTCTGAAAAGAACTTTGTAAGGAAAAAGTTTCACCATTCATTGTGTTTTACCTAATATATTAGTTGGGTTTTCCCATGACTCATACACAATTGGGATTATTTTTTGGCAAGGCCAGGGTAATTAATGGGTGTGTAATATCATTGGTGGTCAGTGGAAATACTTTGTTGAGAAAGGAAAAATGTTGCCAAAACCGGTTTGGCTCAGTGGATAGAGCATCAGCCTGAGGACTGAAAGGTCCCAGGTTCGATTCCAGTCAAGGGCTTGTACCTTGGTTGCGGGCACATACCCAGGAGGGGGTGTGTAGGAGGCAGCTGATCGATGTTCCTCTCTCATCGATGTTTCTAGCTCTCTATCCCTCTCCCTTCCTCTCTGTAAAAAAATCAATAAAATATATATTAAAGAAAAAAGAAAGGAAAAATGTTGATGGATGTATGCTGGACTTTTCCTGACCCTTATACTCACCCATTGTGTCCCCATATATGTTTTCCCCTCCTCACATAATATTAAAACTCCTACTTTTTAGTTGGACACATAGCTGATCAGAATAAATACTATGTTTTCACCCTGGTCTGTTTGGTTCTGTGGTTGAGCATTGACCTATGAACCAAGAGGTCATGGTTCAATTCCTGGTCAAGGCACATGCCCAAGGTTGTGGGCTCAATCCCCAACTGGGGACTTTCAGGAGGCAGCTGATCAATGAATCTTTCTCATCATTGATGTTTCTTTCCTTCTCCATTCCTCTCAAAATCAGTAAACATATATTTCTTTAAAAGTACTAAAGAATGCCGGGACCGGTTTGGCTCAGTGGATAGAGCGTCGGCCTGCGGACTGAAAGGTCCCGGGTTCGATTCCGGGCAAGGGCATGTACCTTGGTTGCGGGCACATCCCCAGTAGGGGGTGTGCAAGAGGCAGTTGATCGATGATTCTCTCTCATCGATGTTTCTAACTCTATCTCTCTCTTCCTCTCTGTGAAAAATCAATAAAATATATTTTTAAAAAAAGTACTAAAGAATGCCTACAAAATAGCATCATTGAAGGAATTAACTATTGTAACATTTATTGGGCACATATACAATTTTTAATTATCACAATCCTGAAAGAATGAGAAAATTGAGACTGAAATAGCATA